GGCAGACGACAATTAACCATGAAATGAGTCTAGATGCGCGAACATCTCCTGGCGCACGACCTTGTTTGGATAAATAAGGTGGGGTCAACCACCTTGCTTGAGTTGCGCACAGGCATCTGCTCGGTACTATGGTCGGACTATCCCTCAGATAACCGCCTTTGTTGTTTTTAGATTTTGTCATTTTTTTGTGTTTTTCCGTTTACGTTTTATGGATCTTACAGTGAGTCTGCAGTTTTATCAGGTATTGTTTTTATTTGTTTTAATTAAGATTGCCCATTTTTACGTGTATTTGTGTTGAACTTTTATTTTTCCGGAGGTTTTATTTAATTGTGTTCTCGCTTTTGTTTTAAATAATAATAGTATTGAGCTTTGCCTTTTGTTTCGTTTTTCCAACTAAACATAAATGAAAATAAGTTTAATTATGATAAATAATGAAATGATGAAATCTAATGATAAATGATAATAAGTTGATATAATCTGAAGACTGGTGATACAGTGCAGCAGTGAAGTTTTATAGTTTATTTAACTCATTTTAAATTCTTTCTATTTTAATAATAGCTTTAATTTATTCTTATGATTTCACTTTCACGTTTTATTTGTTATACATATTTTTAATTATCTATATTTTTGATGAATGCTTTGAGCAAAAGACTTTGTTTCACACATCTTGTTTTTGTTAAAGACGCTACCAACTATGATACTGCACAAGACAAACGTCAATGACTTTTACTCTGTGCCGGAACAGGAGGCCGGAGGCTTAGGTCTCGTTGGCTCCTACGGCCCCGCAAACTAGGGGGGAGACACAGACAACCCCTACACTTCTAAAAGATAATTTCAAAAACACCAAACAAACAAATAAAATAGATCCAAGAAAAAAATGAGAATAAAATAAAAAGCAACAGAGAACATCCCGTCCACGCCAGGCCTCCGATCGCGAGACAAAAGTGATCACGAGTCTCCGCGAATATCGCCCTTCTGTACCTCTCCCATAAGGGCGTTTTCCTGTGACCCTTGCTCTCCGGGGCCAGGCTCAGGTGACAGAGGCAACACAGGGAGGAAAGGGAGGGGGGGGGGGGAGGGAGAGGGAGAGAGAGAGAAGAAGAAGAAGAAGAAGAAGAAGGAATAGGGCTGATAAGAGAGAGGTGTGGGAAGATGAGAGGTAAGAACGAAAGAACAGGGATAAAAGAAGGAGAAAAGAAGAGGAATAAAGATAACATTGGCTTTTGAAAGCAAAGTGAAAAAAGGAGCAGAAATAGGTGTGATAAGAAAAGGGAATAGAGATAGTAAGACATGATAAAAACAAAAGGAGAGGCTTTGGGAAAGGGATGAGAAAGACAGAGAGGGGGGAGAGGAAGAGAGAGAGAGAGAGAGAGAGAGAGAGAGAGAGAGAGAGAGAGAGAGAGAGAGATTAAAAAGGAAAATGGCTGGATTATTTAAACGGAGGTGGAAGAACTCCTGATGATGTTTGAGAGAGAGGAAGGAGAAAAAGGGTGTAGAAATAAAAGGAAAATGGAGAATGGAAAGGGAGAAAGAAGCAAAGAGAAC